TAAATTAAATTATCAATCAATAAAAATAAGTTTTTTTACAATAAAAATTATTTATTATAAATCTAAAATATAATTTATATACTTAAAATATTTATGTATATTAATTTTAAATATAATTTATATATTTAAATATAATATTATTTTATATATAATTTATTATAAATTTTAATTATATATAATAAATATTTAGCCATTACATTATACATATGTTAAAATACTAGTTAAACTTAACTATCTATACATAGTAAAAGCCGGTAAAAAAAATTACAAACTATTAAACATATACAAAACTTAGTATGTATGTAATAGGTTGAGTTTGAACTTATTATTAATAATATTGAAAGTCATGTAAATTCTATCATTAAATCAAAAGAGAGACTCCTTAAATGTGATGCTAAAACAAGATCCACAAAATTTCAATTAATAATAAAAAATGTTAAAAGTAAATATTAAAAAATATGTTATTAACACTTCTCGTATAAAAATATATAAGAGTACAATATTTTTCAAAATACCTGTTATGAAAAACTATTCTAAGTTAAAATCGACGGTCCAAATATTCTTCTACATTTGACACTTAACACTTACTTGGAGTATCAATGACTTAGTGCTTAACCGACATAAGTGTCGAGCTCTCACCCAAGACAATGCTTAACCCAAGACTTGAAACTCTATGCAACCCGACTAGTTCACACATTAACTAGCCATACTCGTTTTACGTATGAAATATCACGTTTTGCTCGCACCCTACCCTTACATATATAAACAGTGTCACATGCTCTCTGCTTTTTATCATATTATTTCTCTGTTAAAATACTTAATAATTTAAGCGTTGGACATGGACTGGTTGTAAGTGACCATCAATATTTTCCTCCGTTTCACTTGCGTTGCATCTTTCAAGTTCTTGTCTTTAGTTCATCTACGTTCCACCATCCAAACGATATCTCCTATTATTATGAAACAAGAAATTACTGCTTCTGTCAAAATGTCCATTTAGACGAAATGAATAAATAAAATAATTACAACCCAAATTATTAAAGGGTGATAGTAATTAAGTTTTCATTTTTATTTTTAAATATATAAGTTTGGTTTTAAAATACTGTAAATTTGACCGTTAATTTGATTTTGAAATAATTATCTCAAATTTCAAAACCAAACAAGTACTTTTGTTTTTTGCTTTTAATTGAAAAAACAAATTCAATTATTTCATCTCTTTTAAAAGACATCACTATGTTAATTAATTACGCTACTAATCTTCTAAAAAAAACTATACCAGTATAATCCACTTACCATCACAACTAGTTAATGATCATTCTCACTATTCTCACATCCTTCACCATAATTATCATTGTCCCGGTTATCGCCACTCCAACTGCTAGGTGACATACATACTGTCACACCATCCTCAACACTACTACAATTAATCATCAAATTTGTAGTAATTATATACGTAGCCAAAAAGGCAAATTAAAATACATGGCCAAAAATATAAAATGCCCATTAACATGTTTGATAATTGATATTATAGGAGCCGAAAAAGACACGACGATTTATAGGTAGATATATAAAAGCCGAACGGCCTCCTAAATCGAAAGTGTTGTTTTTTGCAGTCAACCTTTACGTGTTCTGCGTTAAGTGGATCATCAGATTTATCCTATGGGAAGTGGAAGAAGATTGCACGATGGGTTGATCGATAGCAATGTGTAATCGGAGCATGTTTTCTTCCATGTCTTGCTCAAATAAAGATAAAGCCCAGAAAGTTGAAAGTTGCATTAACTAAAGTAAAGCAGTGAATTTTCGACTGCAAGATCAAGTTCGGTGATATAACATGGTAGCTAGGCATTAGCTATAGACAATAGTACAAGATCATAAAGAGGACACTCAAGAAAAAGAAGGGGTGTCCCTGACTTAAAACATTAATTGTGTAAGAGCTAGTTAGCTCCTCCATTTTACAGCTACAGAGCTTAGCTAGTTCTTAGTTATTGTTGTTGTGGTTGGTGCTAAAACCAGATGGCCTTTGCATCCATGAGCATTTGTTTGAGAGAGCCATCAACATGGAGGGATATGACATCCTTTGATGATCCTACAAATTTCCCACCAATGAACACTGCTGGCACTGAAGGGTTACACCCCATACTCCTCAAGGCCCATTCCATTTCCCTCCCATATGCATCCTTGTCTAGCTCATGCACCGCAGGGCTTGCTCCAAGCTCATAGAACAGTTGCGTGATGCTGTGGCACATGTAACACGAACTCTTTGTAAATATAACTGCTGCTTTCTTTGATGCCAACTCCCTTACTCTATCCATAACTGTGAGTGTGCCGAAAATTGCTCTCTAAGATGTATAATTAAGAGGCTTTCTTAGTTGTTTTCCTTCCCTGGTGGACTTTGAGACTTCTTCTCCTCTTATTTATAGGGCTTGGAAGGATATCATAGTGGATTAGTGCATTAGAAATTAATAATTAAAGTAATTAGAATTATTATTATTATCGGAAAGGAAAGGGAAGAAACTTAATTCCTTAGGATATTTGTATGGATAAGAGAAATGCTCCCTGATCATTTGATCGATGGTGACTCTGACATGGAACAAGTTGCATTTAGCATCGCACTACACTGTGCATGCGAGTGATAATTCAAATCACTTGGGGTTCCCGTACGAGCAATCAGTGCAGGAAGAATAAGAACAATGTGTATAATTTATTAGACTCAAAAACTCTTTCGGCCCTGGTTCGCAGCATCAACCAGATTATTCTAATGTTAATTTATGCAAACTTCACTGAGGCAGATGGCACAAAACAATGTTGCGTTGTCAACACAATCAGCCGAAAGAATGGAATCCTATATCCAATTAGAATTAGTATTACATATATTAATGCTACACGAGTCAAAGCCCCCCAAAGAGTTACATGTGTCATGTGCTTCACTATTAATTATTCACAAACCAATCATGCATACTTCACTTATTCCATGCCACACCTTACTCAGTCCATAGGAAAAGATAATAACAAAAAAAAATGAGGGAAATGATTGCGATAGTAATTTAGATATTTAACCGATTCCTTTGTCTATTGAGGTCATATAGATGCTTTTGTATCATCTCTTAATTAATTACCCTCTTAAGTGAGATTGTGAGTGATGGTGGGTTGCGAGGCTGATGTGGAGATAAGTGTTTATCCAATTCGTTTTTTCCACTTTGGTCCCCGCATCAGATTCATGGAATACAAAAACAGTGCCATGATCCGACAATACTATGTGCATATGGCCCTTTGGGTATGGAAGGGATCCTCAACTCCTCTTAGACACCTTTGACACAGTGGTGAGATGCATGCCATGAAAATTACAACGCTGTTAGTTAGTACTGTGTGATTTCATCACTGATCTCAACTTACGAGGGTATAAATTCCTTGGTAGGATGTTCCGAACAATCACGTTTACTTTGCGAGAATCTTTGTTTCATAAAGAATACAAGAGAAATAATAGACCTAAGGTGTTAGTTTTTCAAGTTTAGAGTTTTATCTCTGCGTTAGATGTATGCTAATCTTTATTATATGTGGAATTTTAATTTTGATTCGAAATTAACATGTAAAAAACACTTGTAATTTTGTAGATGTTATGTCAAATCCCTCATAATATACACACCATTGGACGAAAGAGAAAAATAAAAGACATTGTGAGTGTGACAATATAATTTAAAAAGGATTTAAATATATTTTCACTTCTTATAAGATGATCTTTTACTTTTAATTTTATAATTTTTTTATTTTTCATTTTGCTAAAATTAATATTATTATTTTTAATTCTTAATATTATGTGATTATTTTTAATTATTTTTTAGTTCTAGTGACATCTAAAACTATATTTAATACATATGTTAGTAAGCAACACATAAGAAAATTATAAACTCTTAAAATAAATGTTATTTATCTATCTTAAAATGAATATCAAGAATAAAAAGTACCACTACTAGAAAAGTGTCATTTTCTTGCGAATTTTCCTACAAAAAAATATTCGCAAAATTTTTTTGCGAATTTTCTTGCAAAAAAATATTTGGTGAAATTTTTTGCAAATTTTCCTGCAAAAAAATATTTGCAATTTTTTTTTACGAATTTATGTGCAAAAAATAATTAAAAAATATTTCTTACAAATTTTGTTACAATTTTAATAATCATAGAAATTTTTTTCCATGGTAAAAATTTGCAGAAAATATTGTAAGAATTTTATTTTGTTTCTTGCAGATTTTCTTGCAAAAATAAATTTGCAAGTAATGTTTACTAAATGGTAGAAAAATTTTGCAGGTAACTTTTCCTGCGGATTTTCCTGCAAATTTTAATCCGTAGGAAAAATATAAAAAAAATTAAATTTATAAGTTTAATATTTTAAAAAAACTTCAAGTCTCACATCGATTGAAAATAAAGCAATTAAAGAGTATATAAGTTGGGGCAACACTTACCTTATAAGTTAATTTGTATGGTTGAGTGTTAGGTTTATAATCTACAATCTTAGAATTTAAAAGATTATGTATTACATGTTGGAGGCATGAAAACAAATGCTTCGGATGAATTCATTGTGAACATTTGAAAGTTAAAAAATTATTAATAGAATTTATAGTAATTTTTTTCGTAAAAAATGTTCTTGCAAAATTTATTGCGAAAAAATTTGCAAGAAACTTTCCTGCGAATTTTTTTTTGCAGGAAACTTTCTTGCAAATTTTTTTTTGCAGGAAACCTTCCTGCGAAGAAATTTCGTAGGAAAATTTTTTGCGAATTTCTTATCCACGAAGGTATTACCTACAGATAAAATTTCGCAAAAAAATTTGCAGGAACAACGTTTTCTGCGAATTTTTATGAAAATTCGCAGGAAAAGTCGCATATAATAAGAGAAATTCTAGTAGTGTACTGAATTTAAATTTTAAAATGGTGAAAGTCAAATTTTTTTTTATAAGAGTCATAATCAAAACTTTTTATTTTTTTTTAGGAATTAACAACTATTCAAAATTTTAAAGAGATAATAAATAAATAAAAATCTATAAGGATTAAAATTAAAATCTATGCATTTTACAGGGATAAGAAAACATATTTAAATCTTAAAAAACAAGCAAAGGTATAACTTGTAAGGTGTTTATAAATTTTGAAAGGAAAAAAAAAAAAAAAACAGATTGCTGCTTACAAAATTATAAATAAGATTCATTAAATAAGATTAAGGCTTCACTTTGTGAGTCTTGACAGATTTCAAGTAAGAATAAAGTGTAATGAAAAAAAGTATGTTTGGAAGTGTTATATTAACATTCCTTAAGAATATAAATAATCGGTTGTAAAAAATTTATATATATATATATATATATTATAATTAGGATATTTTGTCGTTGACTGTGTCAAAAGTCATATTAACAAATATCATAACAAACTTTGTTAGACTAAAAAAATAAAAAATATCAAATATCTAATAAAATTACAACATTTAATGCGTTAAAAACTTTAGAGTTATAACTAGGGTTTATGTATTTTCATAAAATTAAATTTTTAGTCTTCGTTAAATTTTTAATTTTTAATTCTAAATTTTGAAAAATTAAAATATGAAAGACAGTCATTAACATTTGTTATTTTATTAAAAGGGAATAAAATATCAACATGAATGTACAGTAATAATTTGGTGGAAGGTATAATTTAAGAATATGGTAAGATGAAATGGATCCATCTAGCTCCTTGTTTGATTAGGTCAATATCAGAATAAGAGATCATTCCTGCGATGTAAGAATAAACATTCTATCAAGTTATGGAATCTCTATTCTGTTTCACTAAAATAAAGGTATTAGATATACTTTAACCCATTATGTCTACTTTTTCGGTCCCGAGTCATCAGATTGCATTTTTCAGAGGTAAAAGAATTGCACTATAAGACATATAAACCAACTTAAAAATTTTATAAGCCTAAGTACCAAAAAAATTGAGCATTGTAATCTTAAAATTCATAAAGTAGTTTGCATCACTTATAACATACTAAACATAATGGAAAGAATTTCATTGTTTATATTTTTTAAAGTATAAGAATGAACAATTTAAACCCATTATATTTTATATTATCATTTTTTTCTCTTTAAATTAATTTTTATCTAATTCTAGATTAGGTAAGAGTAGACATACATTAAAAGTATATATACTAGAAAAGTGTCATTTTCTTGCAAATTTTCCTGCAAAAAAATATTCATAGAATTTTTTTGCGAATTTTCTTGCAAAAAAATATTCGCAGAAATTTTTTTGTAAAAAAATATTCGCAGAAATTTTTTGCGAATTTATTTGCGAAAAATAATTTACAGATATTTCTTACAAATTTTGTTACAATTTTAATAATCATAGAAATTTTTTTTCATGGTAAAAATTTGCAGAAAATATTGTAAGAATTTTATTTTGTTTCTTGCAGATTTTCTTGCAAAAATAAATTCGCAAGTAATGTTTACTAAATGGTAGAAAAATTTTGCAGGTAACTTTTTCTGCGGATTTTCCTGCAAATTTTAATCCGCAGAAAAAATAAAAAAAAAATATTTAAATTTATAAGTTTAATATTTTAAAAAAACTTCAAGTCCCACATCGATTGAAAATAAAGCAATTAAAGAGTATATAAGTTGGGGCAACACTTACCTTACAAATTGATTTATATGGTTGAGTGTTAGGTTTATAATTTCTTAGAACTTAAAAGATTATGTATCACATGTTGGAGGCATGGAAACAAATGCTTCGGATAAATTCATTGTGAACATTTGAAAGTTAAAAAATTATTGATAGAATTTATAGTAATTTCTTTATTTTGCAAGAAATTTTCTTGCAAATTTTAAAATTTACAAAAAAATATTATCCACGAATATATTACCTGCAGATAAAATTTTACAGAAATATTTGTAGGAACAACATTTCTTGCGAATTTTTATGAAAAATTCGCAGGAAAAATCGTATGTAATAAGAGAAATTCTATTAGTAATTGTAGTAATCTTTGCAACTTTGGAGGGATTTTTAGCGTGGGTCAAAGTTCCATTGATAAATAATGCACTATATACAATGAATAAGAATTTGTTTGTCTTAAAAGTTGAATAGAATATTGATTTTTAACTATCAACCAGTGATGGTCGAGATAGCATGCAGAAAGTTGTACATATTCAAATCATATTGTCGATCTTTCGAAGGATTAAAAATATATATATAAAGAATGTTCAAATTAATCTCGAACATAAATTTATATTAATTAACATGTGTGTTTCTCTTTAATGAGTTTTAGTATTTTAACTTATGTAATATACAAAACTAAATATTTATTATGTATAACTAAAATTTATAATAAATAATGTATATAAATAAATATAATATTTAAATATATAAATTATATTTTCAATTTATAGAAATATATACTTTTAAATATAT